ACGAAATAATTTTCAACAACATATTCGATGATGAAATATGTTAATTTTGCAGACAATTTATAAACAACTATAACAATTATATGCACCGCAACATTACACCAACCCAATTCCTACATGATATTCGTCATAATTCTCATTATAGAGCCAGAACCTCACTCTTACCTTGGATTGAAGGTTGCTCTATAATTTTCCTGATCGAATTCCGTTTTGTCTCTTTTCCTATTTTGCTCTGCAACTCCAAAAATGATGTTGGATTCCACCGCAATAAAAGACAACTTGCCTACAAGTTTTTATGATGCAAAGAAGTGGGTGTCAAAGTTGGGTTTAAAAATAAGAAAGGTTGATTGGTACATTAGTGATTGCATGTTTTTTTATGACAACGATTTTGGTACTCAAGATGGATTGTTAGAGGAATGTAAGTTTTGTAAGAATCCAAGATATCAAGTTCGCAGTAGAGCCATTAACAACAAGCAAAAGCTTGTAGCAGTAAAGTCCATGTTTTATCTTCCGATAATACCAAGGTTAAAAAGAATGTTTGCTTCAATGCACAGTAAAAGTCAAATCACATGGCATCTTACAAACCAAACAAGTTCAGGCACTATGCGACATCCATCTGATGATGAGGCATGAAAGCACTTTGATCGGACACATCTTGATTTTGCCGTAGAACCTAGAATTGTCAGACATGGATTATGCTCTGATGGTTTTCCCCCATCTGTGCAAGCGTCGCGAAATGCATATTCTTGTTGACAAGTTATTGTTACTCCTTACAACCTCCCTCCTGATATGTGCATGACAAAACCATACATGTCTTTGACGTGCGTCATTCCAGGTCCGTCCTGTCCAAAAGCCGGAATCGATGTGTACTTACAACCTTTAATTGATGATTTGAAGAGGTTGTAGATTGGAGAATGGACTTATGAAATATCCCATAAACAAAACTTTAATTTGCGAGCTGCCTTGATGTGTACCATTAATGACTTTCCAGCATATGGCATGTTGTCTGGTTAGGGTACGCATGGCAAAATGAGTTGTCCGCAATTCTTAGTATACACCAAAGCGTTTACGTTGGATAAAGGGAGTAAAAGCTCATGGTTTGTCTGTCACCGCAGATTCCTACCAACAAATCATCCTTATAGAAGAAACAAGACAAATTTTAAAAAAGACGAACGAGTATCAGATCTGCCTCCGCCTCGATTGTCACCAGGTGATATATGAAACCAAGTTTGTGAACTACCAAAATTTACAGATACTGGCAAAGCATGTAGGATTGAAGGATATGGAGTCACACACAATTGGACAAAAAGAAGTATATTTTGGGACCTCCTGTATTGGAAAGATAATTTGTTGCACCATAATCTTAATGATAATTTTGTGTCGTGATTTTCACGTGGCAACTGAGAAACTATGACGTGAAAATCATGTGGCAATTGAGAAGTCGTGGCGTGAAAATCACGTGGAAACTTTTAAATATAATTTAATTTAATTTAATTTAATATATTAAATATTTAACTTAATTTTTTTATTGAATGTATAGGAGGATTATCAGACATTGCTCGTAAATTTTCTGATTCATAATCCTCAATATACTCCGGGAGAGGGAGAGCCGCTCCATCCAGATGTGGACTTTTATATTTGGGATCAAGTCATTGGCGGAAAAGGCCCTAACGGTTGTTTTTTTGGTGGTGGAAATTTAGCTAGTACCTTGAGAAGTGGAGATAGAACTCTATTTCAAAGAGTTAGAGATGGAGAAGGGGTCACATCAATGAAATTTGACACCAGAACAACTTGAAACGGTAAGGCAATTGGCGTTAAATGAGACGAGACGCAAGTCATCGCAATGTGAGGCGGCAATGAAAGCTCAAATTAAGGCAATGAGGCAAGAGCAACAACGATAAATGGAGGTCATGGCAAAGAGGCAAGCTGATATGGAGCAACAAATGAGACAATTTATGTAAGGGTTTGGTGGTAATCCAAACTTTCGTGGTCAAGAGCCGGAGGATGACAAAAACGAAGATAATTTTGACATTGACAAGTATACCAACCAAGATGATCCGTAAACTTAAATTTTTTTTATTTTACTTTCAAATTTGAATTTGTATACCATACTAATTAATTAAACCTACTAATTAATTCTTAAATTTATAATTTTAGTTTATTAATTTTATTATATTAAATTTAATATATTAAATTTATTATATATTGAATTTATTTTATATTGAATTTATTATTTTAATTTATTATATTGAATTTATTAAATTGAATTTATATAAAAGAAAAACAAATTCAGTTATTAAATTAAAAAAAAATATTAGTGACGCGATTTTCACGTCACAAGTTGTGACGTGAAAATCACGTCGCAACCTCATTTTTTATATAAAAATAAATAAAAGTTGAATACATAAGAGGCATTAAATGTAATTATTTAGTTACGTGTTTTTCAAGTTACTAATTTGTGACGTAAAAAACACGTCGCAACTAAAGTTATTTTAACTCTACTACGCCTGTTTTTCCTACAACATTGTAATTCCTATAAAAGTATGTTGCGACGTGATTTTCACGTCACAACTTTGTGACATGAAAATCACGTCGTAAATAATTTGTCACCCCCTCTCCAACCACGTGAACATGCACGTCGCAAATAATTTATTGTGACGTGATTTTTTATATTGTAACATAAAATTCACGTTACAAATGAGAGTATTTTTTGTAGTGTGTTGAACAAATATATTGTAAAATGTGTAATATTAAGTTGAAGTTTTATAGTCTGAATATTTTTTTCGTGTATATCTTATATCTGTATATTACACTTTATTATATATCATACATAATTTTGGTAATTTGACTATTATATAATTGAAATTAAAAATAAATTAATATTTAAATTTAAAGAAAATATTATCAATATTTATGTTTTAATAAAATTTTATATCGCAATTTTTAAAAATATTGATTACATTAACACAATCAAATTAATAATTTTTTTGATTAACGAGACTTAAGTCGAGTAATAATTTAACTTAGATTAGTTATCGATCTATGTTATATTCTATTTACCCATAACAATAGCTTAAAAAATTGGTGTGATAGACAATAATGTTATAGCTTTAAGATTTAAATAATATTTAAACTTAATTTGAAACATTATTTTTTTAATTATAGACAATAATTACATAGTTTTATGATTTAAAATAAATATTTAAATAATATTATTTTTTTTGTTTTTTAATTCTTATTATATTTTAGATTCAAATATACGTAACATATCAGTAACATACGAACGCACGAATATTTAGATCAGAATCAGTGCAAACACACGAGTTATTATATTTTTTATGATTAAGAAAATATATTTAAAATAATATATCTATAAAATTACTGATCAAAATATTGAATATTAATCAAAATATTGAATAATAACGGAAACATAAAATTACTTATCAAAATATAGAAAAAAACGAGAACATAAAATTATTGATCAAAATATTAAATAATAACATAAACATGAAATTATTGATCAAAATATTGAATAATAACGAAAACATGAAATTACTAATCAAAATATTGAATAATAATACAACAACTTTGTTATTGCTTTAAATATTTTTGATAATAATTTCAAAACAAAAATAATATTTATATAAAAAACATATATATTATTTATTTAAATATTTTTATATAATAAAAGAATTACAGACATCGATTTATTATCTTTTTTAAAAATAATAAAAAATATTGTTAAATAATTTAATTTATTTTTAATTTTATTATATTTTTATTATATTTTAATAACAAATACGCGTATCATATCCCACTTATTTCTAATTTAGAAATGACACACTTTAAAATGTCCAATTAATTTAGAAATGACACACTTTAAAAAATGTCCAATAGACGAGTGTTAACACTTATCCAAAGCATATAAAACATCCTTGAATCCCACATCAACAATCATCATGAATACAAAAAATAATCAATATTACTTATTTGTTTCTTTTTAATATAATTAAATGCTAGCACACTCATTTTTTGACGTGAAGCATTGTCATCTATATCAAAGAACTACTTGATAACCCTCACATATTTATGATTTTCTTTTCAAAACACTATAATATCATATCAAAAAGGATATGAGTAAAAATGATACGATTAATGTTTCATTTCATATCTCAATTTAATGTTCGCATAGTAGGATATGATAAGTTAGTTCTGCAACTTATCTTATCTTGTCTCTCTAATTAAAATTTTCATCATCAATATGAGATAGAATAGAAACTAAATGATAAAAAAAATTATTAATTTATCCCTAAATAATTTAACTTAAAATTAATAAAATAAATTTAATAAATTATAAATAAAATGAAAGAACAGGAATTTAAAATTAAATAAAAAGTATTTAACTTATCTAACATATATAATCGAATTATTTTTTACTCTTTTTTTTATAAAAAATAAATTAAAATTTTTATTTAGTAGTCAATAGATAAGTGAATTTCCTTAAAATGATCTATATTTCTTTTTATTTTTTATTTTTATCATTTTTTTGTTAATATGTTAAATTTAAAAATTATATTTATTAAAATATATGTAATTATTTTTTATAAATAATTTTATAATAAAATATAATATATATTTGAACTCATGTATTTATCAAGTGTGTCCTAATTACATGAAACATTAAAAGAATGATATTAGGTTTCTTATCGTGTGTCTATCAAATACATACATGATGAGTGTGTTTTATGTAACTATGTTATTCTCCAACTCTTTATACTTTGTGTCAATCCTATCACATAAAAACTAACTGTAATAGTTTGTGGTATCTCTTTCATAACATCAAAGAAACCACTTAATTATTCATTAATTTCTTACTCTATATATACAAACACATTTAGTCTAAAAGGACCAAGTTCTCCATCTCCATACTAACATACGCAAAACCTAACAGCATCTAAGTTCTCCATCTCCATTCTCACCCACACAATAGTTTGATTGTATCAATGGAAGAAGTTAAGCCTGTGAATTTCATTACCGTTCTTAGCATTGATGGCGGAGGCGTCCGAGGAATCATTCCTGGTGTTATTCTTGCCTACCTTGAATCTCAACTTCAAGAGATAGATGGTGCTGATGCAAGACTTGCAGATTACTTTGATGTAATTGCTGGGACAAGTACTGGTGGTCTCATTACAGCCATGTTAGCAACTCCAAATCCAAACAACCGTCCTTTATTTGCTGCCAGAGATATTGTTCCATTTTACCTTAAAAACTTGCCACTTATTTTTCCACAGAAAAGGTATATTTATAGCTGATCATTACTAAATAAGTCTATATATATATATATATATATATATATATATATATATATATATATATATATATATATATATATATATATATATATATATATATATATATATATATATATTAGTAAATCTTTAAGACATTAGAAGGACTAATCAATTACTTTTGAATTATTATTGAATCTGCAGTGGAATATTTGCGCCGATCATGAACGTAGCGAAAGCTTTAACAGGACCTAAGTACACTGGAACGTATCTCCATAAGACAATAAGAGAGGTGACAGGGAATACACTTTTGAGCCAAACTCTCACAAACATTGTTATACCATCTTTTGATATTGAAAAACTTCAACCAACCATTTTTTCCTCATATCAGGTATTGTGTTAACTCTTATTTTTTAATGCATGCATCCATTTAAATTATCAAGAATCTTGAAATTTATGCAGATTGATGCTGAGCCAGCTTTAGATGTAAGACTGTCAGATATCTGCATAGCTACCTCTGCTGCTCCAACTTTTTTACCAGCTCACTATTTTGAGATACAAAATGAACAAGGAAGAGTGATTAAAAAATACAATCTCATTGACGGAGGTGTTTGTGCCAACAATCCGGTAAAGTTCCTATAAAATCTTTTTAAAAAGTTATAGTGATATGAAGCTGTCTAGGCCCATTAGAGAGAAAGTCATCTATCCTACTTAAAGATGCAATGTTAAGCCCTATAGTTATCCCCATTCACAAAAAGATGCAACGACCATAATTATTCAGGAGATGTTACGTGATGGGCTTATTAAGCCTAGTACTAGGCCTTTTTCTTCACCAGTATTACTTGTTAAAAAGAAGGATGGTACTTGGCGGTTTTGCATGGATTATCGTGCTCTTAATGTTGTTGCAATTAAATACAGATTCTCTGTCCCTACCATTGACGAATTATTAGATGAATTAGGTTCAGTGACAGTTTTCATTAAATTGGATTTACGCTCTGGCTACCACCAAATCCAGGTTGCTTCGGAAGACATTCATAAAACATCATTTTGAACTTTCGATGGATATTACGAGTTTCTCGTAATGCCCTTCGGGCTTACTAATGCCTCTTCCACTTTTCAGTAAACTATGAACAATTTGTTAAGGCCTCACTTACACAAATTCGTTTTAGTTTTTTTTTATGACATACTCATATATAGTCCTAGTTTCAGGGACCACTTATATCATTTAGAGGTTGTTTTTGATTTGTTAAATGCTAACAATTTCTTTGTGAAATTATCTAAAATTATCTAAGTGTGTTTTTGCAGTGAACCAAGTTAATAAAACAAATGAAGATTTTATTGATTTGATTTTTGATAATGAATTTTGCAGACTATGGTTGCAATAAGAGAAGTGATAAAAGATATGATAAGGCAACCACAAGGGAGAAATGAGAGTAATGTTGGTATAGGATATGATCGTTTTCTTGTGATATCAATAGGGACAGGATCAAACAAAAGTGAGAGAAAGTATAGTGCTAAAATGGCAGCAAAATGGGGAGTTTTGACATGGCTATTCAACTCTGGTGCAACTCCAGTTATTGATTGTTTCAATGAAGCAAGCACTGATATGGTTGATTACCATAACTCTGTCCTTTTTACTGCTCTACAATCTCAAGACAACTATCTCAGAATTCAAGTAAGTATTTAAAGAAAAAAACAAGTTTAAAATATAGAGCACTTCTTATAATCGTATATATAACTGTTTCTTCAAACAGGATGATACATTAGAAGGAGAGTTAGCTTCGGTGGATATATCTACTAAAGATAATCTGAATAATCTGGTGAAAGCTGGTGAGAATTTATTGAAGAAAAAATTTACTAGAGTGAATCTAGATTCAGGCATATATGAAACAGTTCTAGATAAAGGAACCATTCAGGAAGAACTCGATAGGTATTAATTCATTTTATTTTATAATAATAACTTATTTATTTTCTAATAGTCCTAACTAAGATGGAAAAAATACTAACAAATATTGATATTTATATGTTTGCAGGTTTGCTAATAAACTCTCCGATATAAGAAAAAAGAAAAATTCCGAGCATAAAAATGGCAAGTGAATGAGTGATCACTAGATTGAAAATGTCATTAATTCATTATTGAAGATCTATATTTTACTTTATTTTCTTAATCAATAATTTCAGTAGTTTCTAATACTTTAATGTGTTCAAATGATTGTTTTTCATTTTCAAAGTTCAGAAGGATTTTAAATTTTCATTTAACTATGTGTTACTTTAAATTTAATCCACCTTTAAAGAAGAACTATCTTGACTAGTGAATAAAGGGATCGACTTTCCAGTTTGAAGTCGTTGTAGTATTATTTTATATAATAATAAGTTTAGAATTATTTAGTTATTTTTGAATGTTACTTTTAAATATTGACAAATATATAAATTAAAATTAAAAAATAATTGATCATTAAGGGATTAAACCTAAAAATATTTTTTCAATAAATAACCGCTCTAGACATATTAAATTATATCTTACTAGATATATGATCTGTGTTTGTACGGGTTTGATTAGAATTATTATCTTAAATATTATTTTAAATAAAAATATATTTTGAAAAATAATCACATATAATCTCGTGTTTTAAATTATATTAAATATAACAATATGAGCATCTTTATTAATTTATATTATAATTTTATTTTATTATATCAATTAATTTCTTTAAGTTTAATATATATATATATATATATATATATATATATATATATATATATATATATATATATATATATATATATATATATATATATATATATATATATATATATATATATATATATATATATATATATATATATATATATATATATATATATATATATATATATATATATATATATATATAATAATAATAATAATAATATAATATACAATATTATAAAAAATATTATATTAAATCATTTGTATATATTATTTTTCATTAATCATAAAGTTCATAATCCATATAAGTGTATATTAATTTATACTTCAATTATTTAATCAATCAATATAAAAAAAATTCTCATTTGCGACGTAAAATTCACGTCACAATATGAAAAATCACGTTACAACAATTAACTTGTGACATGAACAATCACGTGGCTAGGGAGCGGGTGACAACTTTATTGCGACGTGATTATTATGTTAAAAAGTTGTGACGTGAAAATTATGTCGCAATTTGCTCACACAGAAATCCTAAAATTACAGTGGGAGCAGGCGTAGCAGACGCAGGAAGTCAGAGCAGTATTTTATTTGTCACGTAATTTTCGTGAAAATCACGTCACTAGTTAATTATATTTAACACTACCACGTTCTATTCAACTTTTGTTTTTTATTAAAAAATTAAGTTGCAACGTGATTTATATGTCACAATTTTGTGACATGGAAATCATGTCATTGATTTTTTAAAAAATTTAATTGCTGGATTTTTTTTTCTTTTATAATTAATAAAATTAATTAATAAATTCAATATATAATAAACTAAATTAACAAATTTAATATAGAATAAATTCAATATGTTAAATTTAATATAATAAAATTAATAAACTAAAATTAAAAATTTAAGATTTCTTAATTTAATACCCCATTTTCAATCTCCTTCGATCAATCTTCTTCTTCAATCTTTTTCTAAACTCTTCAATATTCTTCAATTTTGACAAAATAAATTAAACTAAAATTTTAATTAGAAAATATAATAAATAATAAAGAAAATTATATAAATATATTAAAATTAAATTATATAAAACAATTACCTATATCAATATAATTGCATAATTTGAAAAGATTTGAGGAAGATTTATGGTGGAGGTGGAACAATGAAGGAAAGAGAGAAGAAAACAAAGAAATAGAAACAGAAGGGGGAAGGATGTTGATTTGTGAACGAGATTGTTAAGTATATACGCCACGTGAAAATCACGTCGCAATCTTGTTACGTGAGATTCACGTCACAACATATTCAACCGTAAAAAATATTATTCACTCAGTCTTCACAACTCTGAACTAAGTCAATCCTCAGTCAGATATTTCCCCCCTCGAATGTTGCGACGTGATAATCATGTCATAACTAAATTTTTTAAAATTTTTAAAATTTTTAAAATTCACTCTGTCTGAACGTTAGAGCCTTTTTTGTATATTAACTTTTTAGTTGCGGCGTGAATCCCACGTCGCAAATATTTTTATTTCATAAAAAACTTTGAGTCCCACCATATTAACGTAAACTTTATTTTTTTTATATTAAAAATTTTAGTGACGTGATTATCACGTTGCAATAACTTTTTTTTAACCACGTGATAATCACGTCACAATTTCATGTCGCTGGAAAAAAAAAATTTATAGTGAATATTTAGTCTATAATTTAAGAAACCTAAGAAATGCCTAAAATTATCAATGTCAAATTCAAAAAAAAATTCAAATAATATATTCTCTAGATAGTTCTTATAAAAATCATATTATCATATAAGATCAAATCTTCATATAATAATAAAATAATAATTAAAATTGACTTTAAATTTTTTTAACTGCTATCAACTTTATTAATAATATTTCATAGTGGCCAAAAAAGAAAATAATGATAGAAAAAATATCATAAACATATTTTAAATCATTTATTTGTAAATCCTTTTATTTTTAATAACATACATCATAAAGAGTATCATATGTATATTTAATTTTCTCGCAAATTAAATTTATTTTTTATTATAATATAAAATTCTTATACTATTCAATTTGTTCCTTAACATTCTTCTAATAAAAAAATCTAAAATAAATAAACAAAAAATGTCTTATTTTTCAATCTAAAATTAGTAGGATACCCATTCGTTTACCGGTATGATACGCACATTATTTTGAAAATATAATAAAAATATAATGAAATTTTTTTCAAAGACATAATAAGTCGGTGGATATAACTTTTTTAATATATAAAAATATTTAAATCGATAATATATATTTATTTTATATAAATATTATTTTTATTTTTGAATTATTGTTAAAAATATTTAAACCAACATTAAAGTTGTTTTATAATTATTATTGAATATTTTGATCAGTAACTTCATGTTCCCATAAATATTCAATATTTTGATCAGTAATTTCATATTTTCGTTATTATTCAATATTTTGATTAGTAATTTAAGTTATAACAAAAATGAAATAAAAGAAAGACAATTATTTAACAAACAAAATTTATCAGTAACTTCATATTCCCGTTAATATTTAATATTTTGATCAGTAACTTCATGTTCCCTTTAATATTCAAAAATATTATCAATAACTTAATGTTCCTGTTACTGTTAATATTCAATATATTGATCAGTATCTTCGTGTTCCCGTTAATATTCAATTTTGATCAGTAGCTCCGTGTTCCCGTCAATTTCAATATTTTGATCAGTAACTTCATGTTTTCATTAATATTCAAAATTTGAATCAATAACTTTGTATTCATGTTAATATTCAATATTTTAATCAGTAACTTCACGTTCCCATTAATATTCAATATTTTGATCAATAACTTCATGTTCCCATTATAATTATTTTAATTTGGTGTTTTAAAAAAATAAAAATAAAAATTGATTTTAGTAAATAACTATTTTCATCATCGAAATCATCATTTTTAAATATATGTAATTATAGGTAAACAAATTATTATTTCATATTCTCTTCATGATGATAATAATTTTTTTTCAGAAGTCTCACATTTTCTTTATCAATAAATTAAAATAAATATAGATTTTAAAAGTTCATTTGACTTCTCCTAAGGAAACCATAATTTGGCAACTTTTGACTTTTGATGATTTGAGGACTTTTCTTGAGGAATAATGATCAACCCTTGATAAAATGATGCATGTGACTTCAAAATGTTGATGTTTACCAAATATCTTGAGGTTTGACTGTATGTTGACCATATTTGACTTTTTACACAATATAATTGATTTTCAGTCATCTAAGCCACTGGCTCAGCAAACTTGTGATACAAGACTTGAAACTTGATATGAGCCTCCTTGAGTACACATGAGGACCCATTAAAACCACTTGAGACCTTGTAAACCCAATCTTCCTTGATGAAAGAAAAACCTTAGTTGTAGGCTAATTTCTTAGGAGAAGACTTGTCTGATTAATTCCTTGAGTAATCTTAAGCAATTGAGAACCCTAGGAAGATGAGGAGACCTCTTGAAATAATTTGATTTGAAAATGAGAGGACAAATTTTTGGGTACAACAGATACCCATTAAAACCAGCATATCATTTTAAAACGATATATCAATGATTGCACACATAGAAGCTTGGATTTCGAGGGAATCCTGAGGGTATCTGCTACTACCAGCAGTTCAAAGCTACATATAAGCATAAATTTTCTGGTCTATATCTTATTCATTGACTGTTATGGTACGCACATTTGTTACCTTTATGGAAAAATTGCACTCCTGAGTGTTTTGATACATTTAGGGAAAAATTGCACTTCTTAGTGTTAATTTTTTATTTTTTTTCATTCTCTTTCCAGTTTCTCTGAAATTGATTAATGGATTGATAGTATAGTGCGGGCATGCATTGGATTATTTCTTATTTTTTCGTTAATAGGAATTGGTGGCCTGCAAGTGACTCTGAAGGAAGGTGTTGGAACATTGGGGTAACTAAAATTTACTAACAATTCAAGCTGGATAAGGAGCCGCAAATTTAGGCTTGGCATGAAGGTTGCAGGAGGTTTTGACGACTCTATATGCATTCGTGAAGCTAAGACAGTGGCTTGTGCTATTAAAGTTGCAGTGGGTTTTGACGACTCTATATGATTGTGATGTTTTTAAAGGTTGGTGTTGGTCTCTCTCTGATAGCATCCTTGAATCGCATTATCTCGTATGGTGATCCAGTTCATTGGATTATTTGAAGTTTGAGAGGTACGACTTCATCATTGTACGATTACTTCGTATGTTCACTCTTTCTTTTCTTCCAGGTGCTCCTCGGGGACAACCCTTAAAAACTACCTACGGGGAATACAAACGAGATCACCATAACTAATGATGAAGCAAGGTTGTCTCTATCTAAAATTATGCTTTAGAAAATTTCAGGAAAAAAAT